CGGCCAAACGTCTCTCGCATTTCAAATGGCAGAGTGAGAAAGTCAGGCCGCTTTGTGCAGCGTTGCAAAACAGGAAGAGAAACAGAATCGTGTACAAGATCCCACCAGAGGAAGCTGCAGTCAATACTCGTGGCAGACAGACTCCTGCACGCAGGAACGTGTCACAAACCTGACGAACATAGAAACCAAGCTCCCAGTTGGTGCTGTCCAATTACCGWCCACTTCTGAAAACGAAGAATTTGATCTAAAACCCTTTAAAATGTGACAGTCAGAAGGCTCGTTGGGAGTAGTTTGTTCACAGATGGAGCTCACTAGTTTGTCCTCACTGTGTTAAACTGGACAGAGTTTAATGAAACAGAGTTGATGCAACTTGCAGTAACTAATCATTGGGTGATTGCTTCACTCGTTGTGAACTAATCATCTACAACTGATTAACCTTTGCAGTCCACTTGATTTAAGCAGGCCACCACAGCCAACTGCTCTTAGAAACTCCACAAATGACTTCAATCCAATCCGTTTCAGAATCATTAACCCTCAGTTCAGTTTTTGACACCGTCGAAAAATGAATGTAGTGCAGCTTTGTGGGTGCAGAGGGCACAAACTTCAAGCACCACAACAGCACAAGCCTCGTTTGTGCAGCCACAAACCGACACACTCAAACACATGCACAGAGAAACTGTGTGTGCATGTGCGCATGAACAACTATTTTGCAGTGAAGGTGATAAACGGTCTTGTAAAAAAACAAGGTGCTTGTACTCATCCAGTGAGATTAACTCAGTGTTTGGAGACGTTGTGAATGAGCCGAGCCGCTCATTTGATCAAAATGTGCCAACAAAACTGATGGTTGTTCAAAGATATTATTCATACGGTACATACATACAAAAAAAACTAAATCTCTTTTATTCCAGTATGATTTTTCTTTTTAAGCTTTGGATAGATCTATCCAATTGGTCAAATACACGAGGGGCTCCGTTTGATTGGTGAAATACTTCAAGCGTCTGTCTGCGTGACAAAACTCATAAATGCAAACTTTTGAGACAACCATTTAAACAGTTTATGCAGTTCTTTTTTTTTTTTTTGGATATGCATATTGCACAGGCTGTTATCGTGATGACAACAAATTTTCGATATATTGTGCAGCCCTAACAATCACACTCATTGCAAACATCAAATCTGAAAATTTTTTTAAAAAAATTTTAAAAAAAAAACACTTACCGGTATGCCCCTTTTCACTAGTGCCACTTAGTGTAGTTTCGGTATGGTTCGGTACAGTTCCAAGCCATTTCCATTAGGCCAGATTCATGGAACCGGCCCTTTTTTAAGTACCTACTTCATTGTGGTTCCAACCGGCCCCAGTTGACACCAAAATGCGACGTCAGAACACTGTTCATCACTGATTGGCTAAATTTTTGCAAATTCTTTAAATTTCAAGTTATTCATCAAATGTGTTTCCATCTCTCATTTTGCCCATTAAATTTTTTCAAAAACACCTAAAAACCACCTCCACCAACCACCCAAAACACACCCATTGGAACCGGACTGGAACATCAGTATAAAACCAACCGGTCCGACCCGTACCTACACCGACCGTTCCGACACAACACCATGGAAAAGGGGCATTAGATTGTTAAGAAATATCCACGCTCTCTGCTTTGGCAGTTTGTCAACACATTATAATTAGGGGTGCACCAAAAACTCGTTTTACACCAGAATCGTGATTCTCATTTACAAATATTCAGAATCGATTTAAAATGTCCCAAAATTGAATTTTAAATATTATAAAAATAATAAAGAAAGAAAGAAAATCCAAAAGGTTGTCGACCTCCATTTTGTAACCACTTGAGACGTCCTGACGTCACATGCAGCAAGTTGTGGAAGGTATGCATGTGCAGAAAGCATCAAAACAAAGAGGAAACTACAAAACTGGAGGAAAGAGAGATTCAGCTGACCCCGTCTTTATTGAATGCAAAGATTTGGGCTCATTTTGTTTTCTACTGAATGAGTCTGAGTTTGACCTGAGCTTCACTGTGTGCAAAATCTGCTAAATGAAGATGAAGCACTTTAGGAACACGACAAATGGGCTCACGAGTTTTGAATGAAAAACCGATTTTGAATTGAATCATGAGTAGGGATGGGTACCGAATTCTGTCGGTACTCCCAAGAACCTATTCACGTAACATCAAACGGTACCATGTTTCAGTACCTAAATGCATCATTGCGACCCTATTGGCGTAAAAGCGGTGAGTTTTCCATGCTTGTCCTGAAACGCAGCATCGTGCAAGAGCGTAATGACGTCAGCAGCCGCTGCTTCAGTAAACAGTTCGGTCTGAACGTAGCTAAGTGAGCCTTGCAGCTCCCAGCTCCTAAACTCTCTGAACAGACCGCCTCTGAATTATCTGCTGGATTAATAATCTTGTGAGCACGACGTTCGCTTGCTCAAAGTAAATAAAGTACCGCCACTTTCTTTATTTCATCCAGCATTAAACAGAGAGCGGCAGAGGAAAACAGAGGGGCTTCCCGACAGTCCGAACACGTCTGACCTAAAGAGCACAAGCAGCTAACTTGAAGCGCTGGACGCGTTTTGGATGCTCCAAACGTAGCTTGAATACCTTTTATTTATTTTAACTCCATCCTCTTTTGCTTATTTGATTTAAACTCATTTGCCTTCCATTGACCTCCATCACACAATTTTTTCTAGTGGGGACAATAGAAATACATGGAGCTGGATTTTAATTTGTGCAATAAGACAAAACAGTCTAGTTGTTTTCAAGAGTTTTCACCTTAAAGAAATAAGTTACACAACAGATGTTACAATTCAAAGATTTGGATGTTGTCTTGATATTTGTTAATTTTATATATTGAGAAATATGTTAAAAATAAAAGTTTATTATTTAAAAAAAACACACACACAAAATACCAAAAATTGGTACCGTTAAGTACCTGTACTGATTCCCAGGTACTGGATATTGGTACCGAATCGATTCAAATGTCAAAAGGTACCCATCCCTTAATCGTGAGATGGTAAAAGGTTCCCAACCCTAATTATAAGCCACCACAATCTAATCCCATCACCCACTCCTACAGCTAACGATACAGCACACGTTGAGCAAGGTCATCAAACTGCTCTGAACATCAGGCCTGCATCTTGCTTCATCTACAGTCTGATATGTCAGCAGAGAGGAGGAGGAGGGATGCAGCCGTCGTACTTCTCAGACATTAGTTAAACAGCCATCCTGTTTGCTGTCCTTTTTAAAATTATTTAGCTCATTTTGCAGGCATGAGACATTGGGGGAGTATTCCCTCTCTCTTGTAATCGTCTGCCAGGCGCTCACACGAGGCAGGAAGTTCACAGCTAAAAGCGAAAGAGATGTTATCTGTGGCAAGACGTTGCCTTTTTTTCCATGAAGTCATCACAAGCCCTGTGTAGAGAGAGAGAGAGAGAGAGAGAGAGAGAGAGAGAGAGAGAGAGAGAGAGAGAGAGAGCGGCTGGCCTGCAACAAAAGGGCTACTGTTCAGCCGGCACAATGTGCCACTCTGCTGCACAGCTTGGACACATGCAAATGACAGGCCAGGGGTGGAGGTGGCAAGGTGTGCTGATGTCAGGTTGGAGGCTCGACGTGAAAAATACTCAGCGGACACCGGCGTCCTGCGTGACAACAGACCCTCACTAACAATTCTGACAGCAAAGAGCGTCACTCCAAAATTATCAGCTGGAGCTCTTGTCCTCTCTGTCACCTGCCGCTGAAAGAAAAGCGAGCATGGTCCTCATCTGCTCTTTGTCCACAAGCATTAGAAAATATCGCAAGATCCACAGAACTTTTTTTTTTTTTTTTTTTTTTTTACGAAACAATCTTAAAACTTGAACTGGAGGTTCATCTACAACTGATTCATTTTTGGAGTCAACCCAACTCAATATGGCCGCCACAGTAAGGCAACTTTAGCAAACAGCACAAAATGTTTGAGTTGTTTAACCCAAACGACAACAGATCTGCCTGAGAAAGGTGGTGGGCGACACACATTCCTTCAAAGAGGCCTTGTATTTACTCTGTAACCTGAACTGTAAAGTAGAGGCCCTGTTGTCRGGCGACTGTTGAAAGTGAAAACAGGTTGTTCAAGATTTTCTGTTTCATCATCTGTACCTATTTCATCGCTTCCACTCCGGCAGCCGGAGGCAGCCTGTGCTCTCGATGCACTTCCTGATTCCTGCGTGACATGCCTTGGATGTGCCTGTTCTCACACTAAACACAGCCTCACTACTTCAGGAAGGGTGTGTGTGTGTGTGTGTGTGGGTCTGTCCAGGTCAGGTATGAGATCTTTAGGCTGCAGTCTACCTGAGGCGTCTCCAGGTGACTCAGTGAATAAATACAGTAATTAAAAAAGAAAAATAAGCTCCAGATCGATCCAGATCCCCAATCCTGCAGGTTTGAGATGTTTTTCTGCTTCAACACACCTGATTTGAATGAATGGATGAGTGAGTGAGTATCAGACTTCTGCAGAACCTGAAGACCTGCTGCAGGGTAGTGAGGRATGCTGATCTACATGAATGGTTTTCAAACGATATATATATATAAATATATAATATAATATATATATATCTCCAGAACATGTTTACAAACACAAACAGCCTTAACAACTTCACTTTATCTATCAAATGTAGCCAAATGTGACATTTTAAACACATTTAATATATAATTTGATTGTTTGAAATCACCTCAGGACCCCCTACTTGGTGTTTCACGACCTAAAATGGGGACCCTGATCTAACTTTGCACACCAATAGTCTGATATTGTGCGCTAATTGTTCCAATTACGCGCGCCTGGAGATTTTTTTTTATTTTATTTTTTATTATTTTTACGCGCACGACCTGCCTCGTCTTGAAACAGCGCGACAGTTGAGGGATTTCCTGGCAAAGGGAGTCGATACATGCTGTAACAGTGAGAAGCGCACCACCTACCATGATGTGTTTATGTTCTGAAATGTTGTAAAATAAATGACTCACCGTTCGGTCCATATTTCTCCAAACTGGCTTTGACCTGCTCCAGAGTCAGCCCCGTGTTCTCGTTCACACCGAAGTTGYCCAAAACTTCGGCGGCGGACTTGGTGTGAGCATTTTCCATGATCTGCAGCGGACTTTTCAGATGAGCAGAGCGAAATGCATGTGGTTGCTTTGGCCGGGGTGGGGGGTGAGGGTGCGCGTGTCGGGTGGGGAGGTGGTAACCGCGGTAGTTTCCACCGGTGGACGCTCGGTGTGTCTGTGTCACCTGTTTCCCCCCTGCTGAAGGGAACCGTGGTGCGGGCGCTGTTCCTCCTGGTGTAGCGCGGCTGCTGCTACTTCATCTCCATCTGAAGGTGTGCGGCTGTGCTCCGCAGGCCGCCTCTCCGCCGCTCAGCCCGCCCACCTGCACTCTCATTGGCTGGGTGTACCTGAGCGCGCAGTCCCGCTGCCTCACTCAGATGGCGGCGGGGGGGGGGAGACAGGGGAAAACAGGGTAATAATGACTTTTACTCATTTAAATAAAGCTGCCGCTTTGACTAACAACTTTAGCGCAGTTAGTAGCACTTCAGGCGCTAATTTCAGCTCCATGCAGCCTGAAGAGTGTCTCCATTAAAACTGTGARTTTAAGTCTTTATAACACCAGCAGTGCAGCGCTTGGGTGTTGTGTCAAAACATGCACCCCTGCCAAACATGATCTTTTTCAGYAGCCTACAGTTCCAAAAATAATGTCCCCCGGAAGTACAGTACTTCCTTATAAAGAAGGTGACCSGCTCAAGAGTTCAACTTCTCTTTAAAATCATGAACAAAACACATTAAACATTTTCTATATAGTTCAATATCTATAAAACTGACTGAGTTGGAACAAAGTGTGTATAGGTCAAAGGGAACATGTGCAAAAACCAAATTTTAAGCTGTTAAATGCATTTTGTTGTGTCTCTAGGAGGCAGAAAAGTTTCATTTAGTCTCTCCCGGTGCTGCAAGGATATACTGTATTTATTCTGTTTGGGTATTCTTTAATCCCTTCCCTGTTCTTTATTTACTATTACATTTTCTGAACTGTTACGCCAAATTATTTGTCACTGAACTGCCAAACAAGTTCTGGACTCATCAACTTCAATTTGGTTGTCTTGRTTCTCCTCTGTCTATAAGGCTGGATGGATAAGTCTTCTCTTAACATATTTTAATTCATTTGTAAATTAAAAGTTTCTGCACAGCTATATAGTCGCAAACCCCTCTATCAAACTACAATGGACGGGAAGCTGGAGGGAGCTGGGTAAGAGACAGCCTCAAAACGAGTTGCTCTCAGATGCTCAGGGTGAAAGAGGGGCTTGTGGAGTTACAATAAGGAAGAAATCAGACCAGAGCATTGCAGTTCTTCTTTATATAGGAGTGTTAAAATTTCAGTGTTGAACTTTTGGGTGTTGATTTAACACCTCCTAGTGTTATTTTAACACTGAGTAAAGTGACACCCAGTGTTGGTGTTAATTCACAGTGTTGATTTCCTCAGTGTTGTCTAAACACTGGACAATGTTAAATAAGCTCCGCCCACTGTTAAGTCTTATGTAACACCTAACAGTGTTGTAATTTAACACCACGCAGTGTTGAAAGAACCATTTTGAAAAGCCCCGCCCTCTTCCACCTCATGTCAGACAGACCAGTATTTTCTCAGCAAGGGATGCTGGGTAATCTTGTAGAAATGATGTTTGTTTGTTTATGACTATTAAAGAAGTTCATGAGTGTAAAAATGAGTTGTTCTGGTTAGTTTTCCTGTTCAGTTTGATCAAGTTGTTCAAAGTTTAAGTTTATGTCATTGGCCAAAAATTGACACCATGAGTGAGAGGTACTTCCTGGTGTGTGAAGAGTGACTCCGTTAAACTATTCTACTTACTACTGTAGTGTTAATGCAACACTACAAAGTGTGTTAAATTTACACTTTCAAATTTATGGTGTATCGACACTTTGTGGTGTCTGTTAACCTTTTCAACGMCATAATTTCCTTTGTTAATAATAAAACACTGGTCTTACTTTTAACACTGTATTTAAACACTGTTGAAATGTTAATATGACACCCAGTATTGTTGAATATTAAACACTGGTTGGTGTTAAATTAACAAAAAAATGGGTGTTATAATTTAACACTTTCTCAAATGTTATTTTAACACCAGCGAGTGTGGACACATAGACACTTTGTTGGCGTTGAAATTAACACTGTGGGTGTTAAATTAACACTGACATGTTTGCTGTGGTACGGTGATTAAGAGCTTCACTCAGTTTTGTCCAATGTCTTAAAATGTTTTTTACTTCTGGTGAGGACAATTTTCACTTGAACTTAAAAAGCCAAAATTAAAAGAAAATGTTGCGCTGACTTTGGCTATTTTATTAGGGTGACTTTTAGCTTCTATCACACCAAACTTTAGCTCTAWATCTGTAAAACTGACTAACATATACACATTTCTGCATTGGCTGTCAGTTTGCTGCAGTGTAATCTTAAATTGGGGTGATTTCAAAAGTTAATCACTCCTAGCTGTACATTAGATGATTATTTTTCAAAGTTTCATTAATATCTGTTGATTCGTTAATTAGACAGAGTTGATAATAGCACTTATCTTTTAAGCAAATATATTGCACAATGTCTGATGTATACTTTAGTCATCATGTTCAGCTACTTTGGCTAGAATTCAGTGATATCATATACACATGGGTCATGAAATGATTTAAGCTATATATTGCGATACTGCAAAAGATTTTAATTTAATCAACTTTGTATRAAAAAGCACACCATGCATTACATGCATAAAATCTTTATAAAATTCAGTTTCTTTGTGTGCAGTTTGAAGAACGCTGAAAAACAGTGAGAACTGCATTTGTATTTCACATTTCTTCTTACGACATCCATCCAATAAGCATTAAATAAAAGTCGATCCAGTGCTTTTGAGAAATGATATAGTATCAGTATTGAAATGTCACAATATTTATGTGTATCATTATCCAATAACCAAAATCCATCCAGTGATTCATTAGGTATTTTGTTAAAAGACAATGTTGACTACATTAAGAAATGACTACGGTTTAAAAACAGATCTTGCTCTGAGTATTATCAGTTCCTCACAAACAACTCAGTCCAGTCTGTTCATGAACCAGCATGTTGTTGGAGAAGATATTGAACTCCAAGTCACTCACTTGCAAGTCAGCTCTGTTTAAGTCAACAAACGGACAGGAACGGATGGAAAAGTATGATATTTTAAAATAAAAGAATGTGCACTCTGTAATGAAAATACATAGAAGTTTCCATGGTGGCTTKTTTCTAAAAATGTCTCTTGTGCATCAGAGCTTAGTGTAAAAGTTGTCGGATCAAAGTCCTCACAGTTTCTTCTGACCACCTTTTCTGAACTTTATCGAGTTTTCTAATGAGATCATGGAAAAAGCTGAGGATAAGCTGACAGTGTCATTTCTTGGACTTTTCAGTCTTACTCAGTCCATTGGCTAGTTTACACAAGTCGTCAATACAGCCCTGAGGCCATCAGTACAAAGATTTTGTTAATCTCATCAATAAAGCTGGTTTTTTATTTATTTATGAAATGATCAATACTCAGCTGAGGCTGACTACATTTTATGTAAAGAAATAGGGCCTTCTCCATGGAGCGATTTTCCCATGACCCATGTTTTGTAATTTGACAGTAATTCTGATGATTCAGCCTGGAAAACCACCCTGCAAACAGCATCGCTTTAAACAGTAAACCGTTGTGAGGTCATACTTAAGTTTTATAGCTTTAATAAATTTCTCAGCTTACTTTTTACCTTTTCCTATAGCAAAGTTGTGGAAAAATTGGATGACAAGAAGAGCTTGAAATTAAATATTACAGTTAATATGTTGACTTAATATGTAACTTTTACTAATTGGCATTTTTATGTGGGCAGAACTGACTGTGATTGGATTTGAATTTGGTCTGGACTGAATTCAACTTTTTTTTCTTGTTATCCTAGCAGAGCTGTTGCCTTTCAGTARGAATGTTGCCGTATCAAATTTCAGACAGGTACCTTTCTGGGTAAAGTTTGCATGTTCTCACCATGCATGCGTGGGTTTTCTCCAGCTTCCTTCCACAAATAAAAAACATAAACGTTAGGTCACCTAGATTGTACCGAATTGTGAGCATGAACAATTGTTTGTCTCTATGCTTCCCTGTGATGGACTTGCAACTTGTCCAGGGTGTACCCGTCTGTTGCACAGTGACCTCTGGACATGGGCACTGGTGAACCCTGTAATCTGGAAGTAAGAACAATATTCATCATATCTTTATTTAGCATATATTTATCCAAAGATAATGGATGGATGGATGGATGAACTGGATGAGTATTGTCTGCAGCAGCATCATAATTTTCCAAGATTGTCACGATCCGGTCACATTGTGGATCATGGAGYGAAAAGCAGATCATTGGATGTGAAGGGAGGCCAAACTATCTGTAAACGAAACCATAAAAGAAGCTGGTAAAGATAAGATGTTTACTGAGAAGACTCCATCAGAGAGTCCTCTGAATGTGTCGGACTGAAAGTGCCTGTAGATCTTTATTTCTACGATCATTTATTGGTGAAGTTTTATCAAATTTCAAACTCATTTTGTTTCAACAAAGGAAACAAAAAGAAAGGATTTTAAACGTATGCAGCTCTCAGGGATTCAACACAAAATCCCCAAAACCGTTGGGTCCAAAAATACATTTAGACWATGAACGCACGTTTGCAAGCTAACTCAAATAAACAGGAAACATCTGACTGAATTTATGAAACAATAAAGGAAGTGGAGTCAGCGTAGTGAAACAAAATGAATGCAATATAATTAAATATRTAACAGAACAGCAGTGCCATCCTGTCAGTTGTTGAAGTGAGTTGCATGTTGAATTACCCATCAGGAGCTGACCAGAAGTTTTCACACTCTGACAGCTGTGCTCTGTGTCTTTTTGACACGGCTCATTTCCTCAGCGAGGTTTGGCAGGAGAACGATTTTTCATCCACAGGACCGAGGCTGAGCTCCAGTGATCAGGAGGATGTTTGATGCGGAGACTGAACTCAGGAAAGTCCAGAAAAAAACACYTCATTTTAGGTAAAACTTGAAAAAAGTCAAACATTTTCAGCACCATATGGTGTACTGTGTGAATTTTATAACCTGTCAAAGTTTTTGTGAAGGTAATGAAGTAAACATTTGAAGTAAATGTTATTAAAATTTCATTTCTTTGGTTTAAAATCGACTGGGTGTGGTGGCCATCTTGAATTGGGTTGGCTCCAAAAGTTGACCCATTAAAATCGTTTTAGTGGTRAATTAAAATTTTGCAGGCAGCTTGAATTCACTTCAAACAACATTTGGCAACATTTTAAACAAAGTTCTTTGAAATCTTGGGGGCAAATTGGTGTAATGATCAACAACAATTCAAATTTAGTTCTTCAAAACTCATTTAATCAGTAATATAAAATGCAGTTTGCACCAACAAACAAGAGGAGGTTAAAGATGATGAACATTTAACATTAAACCCGAAACATAAGAAATATCTTATTAAAGATAAAACAAGAACACCTTGTCCAAGAAGTAAAAAAAACCTTCTTGGTTGCTTAAACTTGAACTTCTGAGAACTCAGCTTTGCACTAGTGCTTTTGTTTTTTTGGACAGGCAGCAGTGAAGGTGATGCACTCAGACATACGTTACTTCAGCAGTTGATGCTGTTCTGCGTTTTATGCCAAATATTTCTCTCAYTACTGGTTCTGTAGCAGATGTTTGATGTAACATACAGCAAATGCTCGGTATTTTCAAAGGGGAAAAAAACCTGCTTTACCCTGAAAGTGCACATATTTATTATTTTGGATGTATAAGACCCTGTGGGGACCAGAACTTCCGGGAAAACCTTTGTTTCCTCAAAAGGCTGTTGAGGTTTTTGCACAAAACACGAGCAGTGGGTGGAGCCGAAACAGTCACCTCTCCCACCCTTAGTCAAAATTATTAATTAAAGAAACAGTGTTTGGCTTTCATGCCTTGTGAATGCACAGCCTCTGCATAGTTGTTGCCAGTGGGGGAAACCTGCTGTTTGTTAATCCCGTGGTAACAGCTGAATAATTTTGCCGATTCATAGTGAACACAGTGAAGGATCTGCTGCTCTGGATTTTCCCAGCCCCCGTTTTTCTCTCATAGTTGGGTGACTGCAGCAGAATTTCCTCACCTTAAAGTGGGTCTATTGTTGGARATCACAAGTGCTGGACTGAGACCCTGCATGTGTGAAGGAACAGCATGCTCCAGATCTGTCCTTGTTCACAGCTGGCCTCTTCGCTCACTGCAGGAAAAATGAGTATTAATATCTAGAGATTATATAACTTAAAGAACTGCTGTCTGGAGGATGATGTCAGGCGCCTACAAGTTCTTAGATGCAACTATCTTGTTATCTGACTGGTATTTTATGGTGTCAAAGGTATGTGGCTGTGAGAAAATAATGTCAGTCACTTTGATTACCAAAGCTGGGGTCATGCAGGACAACCCATAAAACAAGTGATGGGTTTTAAGAAAACTTATATTAATGGTATTAACGTTCATTAGCATTAAAACCTACTACTTCTACTGTCTAAAAGTTGCTGTAGAGAACCAAATGTTTTACAATATTTTAGTAAATGTGTATGTAAGATGTTTCTTTCATCTTAGTCTAAAGTTATGCAGAGAATGGAATGATTTAGTCGAGTGTTAGTCGAGACTGTAGCAGCACATGTGTGAAAAAGTCGACTGCTCTTCCTGCGCTGTGCAGTATTTTTTTATGTGATTCCTTTGTCATGGGCAGGTGAACTGATGTCGGCTGGGCGTTTTCTGTGTTGCTAATAAAATAAATATGAAGGTCAATTAAATTATAAAACGTGAGGAAAAGCTCTCCTTTTTAATTTAATTGGCACATTTTTAATTGAATTTATTTAATGGTCCATTTATATATTTCTGCCTTTTTTCTAGTTATGTCAGTTTGGGTCCTCCATACTGTAGAACTTGGAAGAGGTAATTTAATGTCTGAATCAGGTGTGTTGGAGCAGGGAAAAACATAAAACCTGTAGGGCTGCGGCCCTCGAAGACCAGGATTGCCCACCCCTGTTGTAGAGTATRGYRCTTTGTGTATCCTGGTTGGATAGAAAGGCGCTATACATTGAAAGTACAGTTCTTTTACCGTTACTTCCTGTTTTGACTCATGTAAAAAGTTTTCAAAACATGCCAACGTATTCGGACAACTCCAAGCTATTGTGACAGAAGCCTAAGGGCCTAATTGGTGCGTCACTTTGGAGTTTCTGTGTCTCTCACTGCTTCGATGCCAAAGTTGGGATCTGTTTTAAGAGACAGACGTCACATCAGCTATCTATAGACTTGCCACAGATGATTCTGCCCATAACCACATTTCACTAATGTTGTGTGCTGTTTTCTCACATGCACAGTCTGTGAAATCATCAGYAGCAGCCTCGACTCATGGTGTGAAGTTCTCTTCAGCCTTGTATCTGCCCCCACCCCACCACCAGTGTTGTAGCTGAATTCTGCATTGGGGACAATGATGACATAGATGTATAGAGAACCTCATCAACGTCAGAGCTCCTATGAACAGGAACCCCACCACACACACACACACACACACACACACACACACACACAC